AAAATAAAATGTTTGTCCCCTTAATTATACTTTAGTTTGATTTTAAATTAATTACATTTTGTGGTACACTCTTCTTAAGACCTTCTTCAAATTCAAATGAGTGCACTATATGAAGGAACATTTGGTAATTCTCATCTGTGTATCTTGCAACACTTAGGACTGTTGACATTGAATCTTTTGACATCTGAAAAATTAATTTACATTACATTAGTTTTAGGCTTAATGATAAATATACCTGTATCTTGTACCAAGGTAGTAAAAATATGATAGGTAGGTGAAATAATTAAGATTTTTTTAATATTGTTTTTTTACAAAATTTTATCATTTCTTTTCTCAGCACAGAAGAGCGATATGAAAATAATTGCTAGAAACTGAAGGTGCACATGCCCTTGTCCATGTAACCATGAATAACATTGAATATAGCAATAAACAAATTATCATTGGTCATTTGAACTCAATTGCATTCTCACTTTCACTATTTGTGGTTTCTGGAAAAAGATATTTGCAGTTTTATTTCAGGACTGCATTGTAACCTCCAAAAATAAAATCTGTTACTGCATGGATCATATTAAGGAAGAAAATGACAATCAACCCCTTTCCATTCTCACCATATTAAATCCTGAAGATATTCCAAGGAAAAGTGATATAGGAGGTACTTCACCTTGAATTTACAAATGCAATATGCTCAGTTCAACATCACAAGCAATCTTGTTATATTTGTCCATTAAACAGCTAAACAATTTGAAAATAATTTTTTGAATCATACTTAATCTGGTATCCTCACTCAAACTTTTTTTCAAATAAAGATGTATATAGAGCAAATTTTAACTCAATGTGACATAATATTTTTAGTGTATTAAAAAGACTTTAAAAAGTATGTTTTGTTTATTAACTAAAACCACAGTATTCGGTTACATATACTATTCTGTAAACAAGGGTCAAATTTCATCTAACAATTACGGTATAACAATAATTTAATGGTTCTAATAAATATTGAACTTCACTTTGGGTTTCTTACTCTTAACATTCTCTGCCTAATATAGACAAGAGTGGACACAGACTAGTGTGGAGAGTATTTAGCATAATGAGAGTATTGCATAAAACTGTGAGTAAATTCACTAAGGATACCCCCATTCCATATTTAAGGACACTATATTCAAGCTTGATACAGCTATGAATTTGGATTGTGATTAAATTTTTGACACAGCATAAGTTTCTGACACAGAATAAATGTGTCACTACTTTTAATGACTTTACATTAATTCACATATTACAATATTTAACTGAAAAATTCCAAATAAATGAGTAGAGTTATCTCACTTTGTAAATACAATGAGATACAACACCTGTTATAATTAATGTATTTAAACTAATAAGTGCAATTATCTTCCTTGAAAAGATTCTGACCAGGATTATCTTCTTTCATGCATATATTCTAAGGTCATGTACTGCAACTACATGAAGTTTCATCAATATTTATCCAGGAGTTGCACTTAAGAAACCTGTTGTCACATATTGCTATATTAAAACAAAAAAAGTTCAATTATCTCCCTTGAAAAAAATCCAAACAAGAAATATCCTCCTTCATACAAATCCTCAGGTTGTGTGCTACAACTGTAAAATTTCTTCAAATTTCATCCATTTTGGAGGAGTTGTGCTTACCAGACCTGAAGCCACATATTGCTTATATTAAAACTAACTAATTTCCAATTATCTCCCTTGAAAAAAAAAAACTCCTTCATGCACAAGGATATGAAGATTCAATAAGGACATTGAAACTGAATAGAAACCAAATAAGGAAATGAAAATCGAATAAAGAAATAGAAACCGAATAAGGAAATGAAAATCGAATAAGGAAATAGAAACCGAATAAGGAAATAGAAACTGGATAAGGAAATGAAAATCGAATAAGGAAATAGAAACCGAATAAGGAAATAAAAATCGAATAAGGAAATAGAAACCGAATAAGGAAATGAAAATCGAATAAGGAAATAGAAACCGAATAAGGAAATGGAAAAAAAAAGTTTTTGTGAAAAAAAAAAAAACAACTTGTGTCTGGTTAAATAACTATAGTTGATATTAAGCGATATCTTATTCTCACTCGTTATGAAACCTTTTAATACCCCCCCCCCCCCCCAAAAAAAAAATAATATTAATTCAATGAGATATGATGTTGAATAAATTAAAAATGCAAATTTTAAGTTAATCTACTTTTGAATATTCAGTTGAATTTTTGGTATAATTTATTTAATTTTTATTTTCAGGTATGTGCTTGCATTTTTAACATGGCTTGTGGATATAGGGTTATTTAAAAAAGTGAAAATAAGCTTTTTAATGGTTGGTCATACACATGAAGATATCGACCAAGTTTTTTCAAGTTAAATTTATATCATTTAAGTATGTTTAATTAATGATATTGACTTTTTATGCAATTATTATCAAAATTTCTGATTGGATCACAACAAGCATAAATTTTTCTTGTCTGTAACTTAAGTTAGCCAACTTTTTATATTCTGGAGTGTTTTGGCATGTTATTTCTTCAATTCCAAATAAATGAAAAACAAATCACCTAAAATTGCCTTAAAATGTTATTTTCAGCTAGTTTTATTACATTCTGAGGCGTACATGAAGCCTGAAATTGCCTGGTGCTTACATTTGACGCTGAAAGCATACAAATGATATCATTTTGTTTAGTTGCCAAGACAATAACATCATTTTGCAGATTTCCTGATGTAATAATGACTGGAATGGACCGATTTGTTTTATCTAGCATAAGAAAAGAGATTATGATTGTATAATTATTTGAAAATTGTCCTAATTGAAATTTGATTTTTATGTCACAAATATCTGTTTACTGGCTGCGCTATGTGTAACACCAATTTGCGACAGTAAAACCGACAGTTTACAAAGGCCAATCTTTTTAATACAATACAGTTAAATTTGTTAAATGATTTAATCTTACACACACCACAAACCCAATATTTTTTTTGCTTTACCAAAAAAAAACCTGGCTGCTAATATATCAAAGTAATAAAAAAGTAAAAAGGGTATTCTGTACCATGTGCCTCACCTGGTGACCTGTATTTACTATTGTAAGTGTAAAAAAAATAACATTTACTGCAAAAAACATGTTAAGAGCCATTAATCAGTTAACAAACTTTTCTCTCGATGCTTATTTTTTTCTTTACATCAGTCATCTATCAAAATTTCTTAACATTTAAAAAAAATTGTACCGTTTTTTATATCTGATTTAAAAAAAAAATTATTATAGGATTAAATTCATTTTTCTAGAGGTTATTGATGTGTAAACTCAGTCGGTTAACTCACAAACTAAATAGAAGGACTTTTATATTTAAGTTTGTGAGTAAGCAACCCAGTTTACACACCAATAACCTCTAGAAAAAATGTGTTTAATCCTTATAATTCGCTATCTGAACATTATTTATTATTTCTTTTTATTTTAACTTTCTTAACGCCCCTGAATTCCATTTATTTGTCGCGCATGAATACTCGCCAACGTTACGTTTCTATAGGCAACGTAAGTAGTTTCGGCAACATGGTTTATCGAAGTGTAAACCTTGGAAAGAAACTCTAACGGACCAATCACATTCAAGTATTTGTTGATATGCAAATCATATAAGAATTAAATTTTTAGATTTTTAGATTTTCTGTCTGGTTATCCAAGTATTCAACTATGACCATGGACCAACTTCTAAAGGCATTTGAAAGCTGTTACAATCCACACCCTTTATCAGTTCAACTTGACCATGTATTCAATTTTACAAATTGGTTAGAAAAACATATAGAAAAAATTGATGGACATTCCAAGCCACACTGCCTTAACATTAATAAAGACAAAGATGGAAAAACCAAACTTTACTTCAAAAATTGGTCTACAGACACGGTAAATGTTAACATATGTAAATGATTAGAAATACTACACGTATCTTCATGACAACATGCTTTTCTTGCACTATCATTATACCCTGCTTTTCAAGAGGGGGTATACTGTTTTACCTCTGTCTGTTTATCTGTCTGTCAGTCAGTCTGTCTGTATATTCTATTAATATTTCATTGCGTTTTTCTTATTTATAAATATTTTACAAGTTGGCTTCTTGAAATCTTTTATCAAGGTTTATGTAAATGCTGAACCTTGTGATATGTTTTCAGATTCATCATGCAACAACTTCCTGTTTATACACAAGACTAGCTAGGAATATAATTTTATTGCATACTACAAAACATATTGACTAATACAACTATACAATTAAATACAATATTTTTGGCGTACGGCTGTCTCAGAAATTTAGCGTGCATGGTCACATTAACCGAATTTTTTGAAAACAAATAGAAATAGTGTAGTTGTAGGCAAACTGCGGTTTGCTTGCAAACATAACTTTAAACTAGTCAGATCGGCTGGTTAGTGCCCAGTGTCTAATCTATATTAAAGCTACTACAGAAACACTATGTTATGCACTATCCGCTCTCCTGGTTCCAAAGTATGTGAATGATAAGCATCTGAACTGTGATTCAGATAAGTAGCCAAAGATATAGTAGAAAGCCAGAGAGAGCCGATCTGCGAAACAATTAGCATAAGCCTTTGTCTGAGCTTTCTAGCCAGAAAATATTGGCAAGACTTATGCTAAAGTTAGGATGTAAGTGACCACTGAATACCCCGTAAATTTGTGATTTGAGTGAAAACTCGAAATGACCCCAAAAACAGATGTTGAATATTTTGATTAGGCCGATGAGACAGCTGGACCCCAAATTGAAGGAAGTATGAAAAATAAGATTATGATAACTATAAAATTGAAGTTGCTAGCACTTCCGATGGAAGTGTTATTGGAACCAAAAAAACAGCAAGAATAGCATTATTAGATGTTCTTTGACTGTGAAAGAAACTGTTTTCAATATAGTCAATAATTTTATATTCATAATATTCAGTTTTCAAGTAAGAATATGTAACCAAATTCGAAATACAACTCACTTATGGTAATAACTAGTCAGACACGAATTATAGTTTAAAAACAAAAAAGCATCTAAATTTGACATATAAGTATATACACGATCATACTACGCTATCATACTGCTCAATATAATATATTCAAATCATATAGGGAATAGAACACCACTTTTAGTAGAGTAACACATTATACAACTACGGATTGTCAAGCCCCAATGATGAGCATCTTCAAACTCATAGAAAGGGGATTATTGTGCCCCGTCAAAAAACATTGCAGACATGTGGACTCTTATGCACAAGTGGAAGTAATGAACACACTGATTCCAATGATGGTGTTATTCCAATTAATAAAGCAACACACTGCAGTCGACGGGGATTATTATGCCCCTTTTAATCAAATTGAAATTATATTAAAAGGAATCGTAGTCTTACATGTATCTGACAATAAAACACTCATTCTGAACAGTGGATTATTATGCCACCGTAGAATCGCGCACATATTTTCCAAGAACTCTTACAAAGAAAACTGTTGAATAGTAAAACTAGACTAATCGGATATCAAGGCTAGCTGGGCTCGTTTAATTGTTGATTTTGGAGTATGAATATATCTGGTATAGCATTCGGAACTCCAACGACCTAAAATCTTGATCAGGTGATCTTCAATTTTTGATGCAACTGATGTTGCAGCTCCTATTCGGAAGCTATGTCCGTTGTAATTAGATGGATTGAGTCCGATAATTTCCAGGATGGATCGAACATGATTGATGAAAAACGTACGTGTTAGAGCCTCTCCATTTTCCATAACAAAGAGCGGACTAGAGTTGCAGGCTATGCTGAATCTAGATCTTCTAACCGCGAGGTATCTAATTAAAGATTTGACCGGGCACAAAGCGGTGTTGTTTTTGAAAAGATAAATATTTACTCCACTTCTGAAAGGGTCCGTTTTAGACGACTTTAAATGTAATATTGCGTTATCCTCCTCGAAAGTGATGTCTTCTATACATAGATTGCAAGATGCATTGAAGTCCGTGTTGACGGTTAATTCACCGCAGCGGAGAAATCCGAAGTATGCGACGATACAAGCTGCCTCAATAAGTGCAGTAACAAATGGCGAAAATATTCCCTTTTGAAGCACTGTTATCATATTTTCAATTTTATCATAAGTTAGCGGTAATCTTTTTCGGGAACTCTTTACTTCCTGTTTCTTAATACCCCTGTAAATTGTTTCTAACCTAAGCAGTTTTGAAGAACAACAGCTACTGAATAAACACTGTACTCCGGATTGAAGATATATGTATCTTAAACCACAAATGTACATTTTTATTGTAGAACATTTTATGTTAAGATTTTCATGACAATGTGTAGCGTAATGCATTAAGATATCTTCCGTTAAAGGTGGCAAATCTGTTTTATCATCCCACTTAAAACCGGATAGACACAAAAAGTTTTTGTATGATTTAAATCCATGTTCGTATTGCGAACGCGTACTGCTTGCGATTGAGTTGTGAATTAAATGTTTAACTTTTGCATTTAATTCCACATTACTTGCCAAGATTTCGGACACGGAGTGGGTTCTTTCTCTGCTGCTGGTGCTGCTTTTTGGAAGGTCTGAAAATCAAAGCGAGATAAAGAGTCAGCTATCACATTTTTAACTCCGGGAATATGTTGACATTGAATAGTAAAGTTTTGTTTAACGGATAGCCAAGTTAGTGTTCTCATTAATTTCATAATGTCTAGCACTTTAGATCTTCCTTTATTAACTATATTAACGACGGCTTCGTTGTCACAGTGGAACATGATACGTTTCTTATTCCATAAGTGCCCCCATAATAAAGATGCAACAACAATCGGGTACAGTTCTCTAAAAGCCATGGACATGTCTGAATCGAGTGAAGTTGATAGTTCAGAAGGCCAAGTACTACTAAACCATTTACCTTGGAAAAACCCTCCGAAACCAAAGTTAGAAGCCGCATCTGTGTACAATTCTATGTCACTAGCTAAAGTTATATGTTCGTCGTAAAAGAAAGTAACTCTATTCCAGCCTTTTAAGAAATCTCGCCACATGATTAAGTCAGTTCTACAGTCTTTTGATAATGATATATAGTGATGTAGTTTATTTACTTTAGTAGATAACTTAATGAGATAACTGACAAACGATCTACCCGGACGAATAATTCTGGCGGCAAAATTAAAATGTCCTAACAGTTGTAATAATTCTCTCTTCGTAACAGATTTTTTATGAAGAAAACTGTCAATAAAATTTGAAATTCTTTCTACCTTTTCATTAGGTAATCTTGCTTCAAAACTTTCAGTGTCTAGTATGATTCCTAAATACTCGATAGTACAAGTGGGACCTACAGTCTTTTTCTTAGAAATCGGAATATTTAGACGATTGAATATAAGCGTTATTAGCGCCATTGTTCTAAATCCGCAAGAGTCCGGTGGTTGAATAGTGAGAAAATCATCTAGGAGATGAAGTATAACTGGTGTGCCGTAATTTTCCTTTGCTATCCAACAAATAGCCCGTGATATATTGTCAAAGGTGCAAGGAGAGCTGCGAGAACCAAAACATAGTCTTACATAATGATAATATTTGTTTTTCCATTTCATGCAATATAAGTGATGCTGGTCTTTACGGATTCCTAGCTGTTTGAATGCATCGGTCATATCGGTTTTGTTTAGAATTGTTTGCTTTCCGAAATGCTTGATGGCCCTTATTGCGTCATCTATTTTTACATAAGATAGTGAACAGACCTCCTTATCTATAAGACTATTGATGCTTTCATGTGTTTCATGTTTGTTCGTGTGGAGAAGATAGATCAAGGATAAGACGTTTTTTGCCAGAATATTTGCCTTCTGCAATCCCAATGGGACTAACACGGTAAGTTTCGAAAGGTGGACTACTAAACGGGCCTTTAACATATCCTTTATCTATTTCTTGTTTCAAAAGCATATCAACAGTTTCGGGGTCTCTGATGGCAGAAAGCAAAATTCCTACATTCAAACGTAGGTAAATCGAGCATAGACACTAGTGTATCAAAACCGAAACGTATACCATTCAGAAGATACATAACAAAATTTTTATCTGGATGTTCTTTAAGTTCGTATTCAAGTCTATTTACATTTATAGGTGACATATCTAGTCAGATGTTTGCCTTTGTCATTTCTTTTTGTGAAGCTTTAGATGAGTTGGATAATTTATCTAATTTAGCATTTTCATTGTTTGACCTTGGTTGTTTTGTCTGTTGTTTGGCTAAACCACAAGTTTTCATGCCATGCCCGCTTGACCCACATTGACTACATGCGTGCATGAATTTGCATTCTCTTCTATAGCAAGTGCCGTAATTGTAGTTATTGCAGAGTTCTGCTCCTGCAATATTAGAAACCGGTCTGCCCCTCTTATCTGTGTTACGAAAATGTGTAGCCCCTTGGGATAAAGTTGGGATGCCGTGTTTTGCTTTTTCACAGAATTTTGATGTGTGGTCAAATTCCCCGCAGTGAGCACATGCTCTGCTTTGAACATTATGGGTAACAAGGTTCAACATTTTGTCATCGACTTTTGACCAGTTGATAACAATATTGTGTTCAACTATGGCAGCAGCTGCTTTATCAGAAAACATCTTGTGATATGTATAGAAACATGGGCCATAATTTTGTGATATTTCGTTTATGTCAGCTTCATATTGTTCCAATTCAACTTTTTTCTGAGGGTAAGCTTTCCCCATAATATTACGGTATTTCCGGAAAGCCCTATTAAATTCTTCTATTGAAAGATTGTGGTCCAATCTTACATCTTTCTTACTCGAAAGCTCAACTGTAAACCCCCTTGACTGCATAGTTTGGTTTTGAGGTATATCATATTTTGGTGCCAATAATGTAGCCAGGTTAATGTCCATACCTTCTATTATCTGCTTTTTTATGGAGGGGGCAACAAAATCCATCTTTGGTAGATCTTCAGCATAGTATACTTTTCCTGTCGATGTAGCCTCGGCAGCGGAGTCTGTTAGTCGGCTATTGGAACATCTTATGGCAGATTCTATTGTAGGTGTGGTTGATTCTTTTTCAGTAACATTTTCTGTACTTGATTGTTTTAACATCAGTTTAGCGATATTTGATAGAGTTTCTGTTGCTGAGGTAAAGGCTGCGGCAGATTCCCTAAAGAGTACCTCACTGTTTAGATTAAGTGCGTTACCTGGCGTATGAATACGCGTATCATTTACGATAGGAAGCGTTGACGGGTGATATAATCCTACTTCTTGATCAGTCGTATTTGTAGAGTTTTGCAACTCATTAACGGGAGGCTGATTTGATGTTTCAGGAATTGTTATAGACGTAGTTTTTGGTTTATTAGCCAAATATAATTGACGAAGCATTTCTACCTTCCACGTTGCATTGACCCCGATACTCATCTCTTTTAGTTTTTCCAGATAAGTTTCTTTTGGCCAATTTCTATTGTTTTCACTGTATTGCCTACGTGGCCTCTTTCTACCACTCATATTGTTTTAGTTAAAGTACTTACGTACGAATAATAGAAATATATGTGTAGAAATTTATTCTCTGTATCACGTTATAAATAAATATCTCAGGTTTCGAAAGTTCATCAATAGTTCATGAAATGTGTGTGTAAAACTGTTTGAAACTAAAACAACACATTGATGTTAAGATAAATCCTTATTGATGAGGTATGTCACTTTAGAATCGGATTTAATATCAGCAACCGCTTGGTATAGACGAATTAGTTGATAAATTGTTTTAATAATATTAACAACAAAGAATGGCGATGCCTTCAACGTAAACAATGTGAATTTATAAATAGTTCTCACGTGCTAAAAATAATTGAATGTAGATAAAGCAATGGGGAACGGAAAGGGGCAAATTGTCTTTTGTATAAACCTGAATTATATACATAATTCTCATTTAGTACAGAACACATTTTTAGACATAATAACAAAGTTGAAAACTTTCGTGGCATTTTTCTGAGAAACTACATATCAGGGCTTTTTGAAATTTGGTATCATGGTTTATATGAGTAAGCTATGTATTGTGTAATACATTTTCAGATTCATATCTGTTCAACTTCCTGTTAACCAAACACTTACATTTTTTACACATATTAGCCAAGTTGAAATTTTTCGCATTTTTCTCGGGAACTACATATCAGTTACCTATTTTTTCCCTCTTAAGTTATATGTTTATTTATAAGATTTCAAGTCAAAGTAAATCAGTTCATTATAATTTAAAGGATTGGAAAGATGCAACAGCAGAGAATGCTCTTTTAAAAACATATCCAATGGACACACCATCCCTTCTAAAGCCAACATTGGACTTGGTAGATTTAAGAAAAGTTGAGGAATCAATAAAAAAAAATGCATTGACAAGCGTTTTTTAACAAATGAAGACGACATTGCTTGGTGGAGACAGTTTGTAGCAAAGTCAAAAGGTAATATAAATTTAAACTCTTTGGATAGAAGAATATAATAAAATTTACCCCGCATCTTTCATACTTAGGAATATTGCACATTTAAAACCAATTGCACTGATAGCATGAACACAACTTGGAATGAAATGCAAGTTTGAAATTCACCAACTTACAAATATAATTCTAATGCAACATAGTTTGTAACATTCATTTGATAGGATAACTTCACAGATTTTTAAAGGTATCATGTTGCCAGTAAACTCAAATTTCGACCATCAAATCACCAATTGATGCCGTAGGAGCTTAATATACATGACAGTTATCTCCTTATCAAGTTCAAATACTTGAATTGTTGTGTTTATTACTTATAAAGAAATAAACCCAGTTTGATAAGCATATGTTTGTTATTCAGCTGATGATGAAAATCAAACTAAAGTTGACTAGCCCATACCAGAAATACTTAGTTGTAAACAAAGACAAAGATTAGTGGAAATGCAGTCTGATGTTCAGGAATTTCAGGATATAGTGGAAATACCTGTAGAGGTAATGATTTAACTTGTTCACTAGCTGTTAAATTATATATTTTTGTAAATAACAGAATGTAGAAGGGTTTAACATGACAGTTAGTACTAAACCCATATCCTAAGCCACAAATATGCCGCAAAATATAAAAACAAGCTGAAGTAAAATATTCAAAAGGACTGGACTCATCAGAACAACATAAACATATACTCAACTGAAATAATTGCAAACTATAACTTTTATCAGTGCAATCTTGTTTTCATCTATATTAAATGATCAGCAATATAATTTGCCTTAACTTTAAATGTTATTTATAAAACTTAAACACAATGCTTATTACCAGAAACACAGATCAAGTTAGAATTGGGGTGGCATCACTTTGGCTTTTTTTATTTATGTCCCTTTATAGATGGAAAAAATACTAAATTTGTGGTTTACATTTTCTATTACCTCAGTTTGCCGCAACCAAATGTTATGAAACTTATACAATGATTATTACCAAAAAAACACAGATCAGCTTTGAATTAAACTGGTATCACTTTCTCTGTTCTTGAGTTTTATCTTTTTATAATGTTAGATGAAGGCTGGGACTAGTTCATCTGTGTCCCATCAATATGTATTCTTCTTTTTTTAAACTGATAGACAACATAATTACAAAGCAAAGAGTAATTTTTTTATGACATTATTTAACATTCTAAAATTCAATTTTTATTGCAGGTAATAATTGGGAAAAAGAAAAGAAAGAAATAAAGAATTTACTGGGACAAATGGTTGATGTTATTTTTGGTGACTCAGTCATATGATATGTATTGCTGTACTAAAATGTGAAATGGCATCAATGCGTTATATATTTAAGTGTCTGTAATATGTTATGTATTTTTTAATTTTGTACTTTGATGTTTCTGTGTTAAATGTTATGTTAATATTTATTAACCACTTGCCAACAAAGTTGGAGGGGGTATACTAACAGTACTGCCCTTCCCTCTGTCTGTCCTGCGAAATATCCGTCAGTTACACCCTTGTTAACACTCTAGTGGGTCTCATTGGGGTCTTAGTGTGAACGGCCGGTTTTTGTTAAGCGCAACAGTGGAAATCAAATGATTAAGCGTGAAAACAGGAAATGAAGTCCCGCAAGACACATGAAATTACAAAAAAAAAAAAAAATAAAATAAAATCGTATATTATAGTATAAGCGGGATACGGGAATCTAACAAAACACTAAGCGGGATCCGGGATTAGACCCCCTCCTCCAAAATGAGACCCTACTCTAGATTTAAACCTTTCTAGAGATTTTGACCAAACTTTGCACATACTAAGTCCTCATTAATATTTAAAAATCAATTGATCTTCAAGGTCTTAGGTTAAAGATCAAGGTTACAGTGGGATTTATCATTTCTTTAACACCTGTGTACTACCCTGGTAATAAAAATCTGGAACCATGTGGATTTTCAAGGTCAAAACTAGAAGTCAAGGTTACAAAGTCAATTTTATCATGGCAAGGGGATGCCACGTTTCTTGTTGCCTTTATTTTAATGTATTGACTGTCTGCTGTTTGGATAAGACAATATTGTGTGAGAAAAATATTTTAATCCTCTCTATGTAAACATTGATAGTTAAACATGTTAAACTGATGTCTGATTGGTGTAGAGTATCCCATGTGGCAGTGAATAAAACATATTCTCTGCTTAAGAAAAAAAAACATCATATGCCCCTCTCACGACTTTAAGCACCCTTTGCATATGGATTTTCTTGGGTAAACAAATCTTCCTCAGGCTAAATGAATGTAAAGTATTGTTAACAGCAGCTTAATTGCTTTATGCTAAAGAGTGGTATAATTCCTTCTAAATGAATACTTAGATAACATCTTTGTGATTATTATTTTTTACATGTTCAAACTTGTCTGTTACAAAAGCGTCCTTATATTTGGTACATGTACATGTGCATAACACAACAATTTTATTCAAATAAGATCCTTGCAAAATGCTGACAAATTACACTTTCAATTGTTATAGATCTAAAACTGCACTTATTATTTTGATGAGAATAAGCAAAGAATTAATTGAGTATTAACTAGATGAAAAAGAATTTCCTTTACAAAAATTTTATCAATTAAGATTGTATCAATTATGAAGGTGTATAATTTTGGAAAAACAAATGATCACTGTTTAATATTTGGTTTTAAAAATGTTGTAATATTTTGATTGCCTTGTCTCCATCACTGCTGATTGGTTTATCTGTTTTTATTTGTCAGCATTTATGAATTCAATTCTTTGAAGAGAAAATAATCAAGATTTTTTTTTCACAGACTTAAATATTTGGCTTTTATATGAAGTATGTACATACAATATGTGATAACCAAATTTGTTTCAACTATCTCATCAAATCAGTATTTTTTTTTTTCTGTACTGCATTATAATAATATAAATACATAATGTAGCAAATAAACTTCATAAATCCTTATTATGTTTCAGTTTTCTCAATGATAAATATTCTATAATTCACCTTACAGATGAGGAGCATTACATTTACGTGTCTGCATGTCTGTTAAGCTTGGCCAACATACAACGTAGAGGTTACTTTTGAAAATTGAACAAGTTTACCTTGCAAATTCAAAATGAGTAACTAATAGACTATTGTCATATTACCGACTTTTGACTCCGGATTATATAATGTGTCGACTGGTTACCTTGGACATCATGGTACCAAGTCAGGTAAGAGCAAGCTAAAGAAGTAAAACCAAGCTTTCAATCGGTACAATTTTGGGGGAAAATTACCTGCTTAACATTTTTTTTTCACTACAAAATCATCGGAAAACAGTAAACTTTCCCCTCAAATTACACCGATTATATGTTTGATTTTACTTATTTTGGTTGCTCTTACTTGACCGAGTACCATGATGTCCAAGGTAACCAGTCGACAAATTATATAATCCGGAGTCAAAAGTCGGTAATATGAAAATAGTCTATTGATAGAATATGAAATCTTCTCCAGTGCAAAATATCTGTCAATAAGCAAATAAAATCTTTACAAACAAAACATAAGAATCTTCTGTCAACTGCAAATATTTGATTGTGTGAAATTTTGCGAAGATTTTGAGAGCAGTCATTGATATGATTCAAAACAATATAAATATAGTCTGTCTATAGTTTAAAAAAAACAAGTCCCAATTCCATCCAAAACTGTAATTGTGCATACACAGCTAATGGTTACATGAATAACAAAGATCCTCTATTATAAGCTGCATGTGTGTACACTGTACATACATGTTTGGTGCAACTGTAAGTCCATAAGCTAGAAAGTCTTCATTTTATTTTAAAATATATATTTTAACATAGAACTCCAGGGGTTTGTACTATGAACAAAACAATCTGTATGTTCATGCTTGGCTGGTTTTATTAAAGTTTTCATATAAATAATTTGTTCAAATGAACAAACAATGCATACACTGGGTTGGTCAACTGATGCTGTGTATGCACTGGGTTAGTCAACTACAGTGATTTTGAAGGTTCAGACATTAGGCAATGACCAGTAAAAAAATGCTTTGGTCCGGAAGTTTGCTCTATATTACTGGACCAAATGACCAGTAATGTTATATAAATTTTATGA